TATGCATGCGAAAGCTGGACAGTGAATAAGGAAGATCATTAAAAAAATTGATGCTTTTGAGTTGTGGTATTGGAGGAGAATGTTGAAAGTGCCATGGGCTGCCAAAAGAACCAATAGATCTGTTTTGGAAGAAGTGCAGCCAGAGTGCTCCTTGGAGGCCAAGATAGTCAAACTTGGTCTGTCAGACTTCAGACATATCGTCAGGAGGGACCAGTCGCTGAAGAAGGACATCATGTTTGATAAGATGGAGGGTCAGAGAAAAGATGAAGAACCCAGTGAGATGGATTGGCAAAGTGACAGCATCGATGGACTCAAGCGTGGAAAGAGTAGTGTGGTTACGGGCAGTGTTTTGTTCTGCTGTGCATAAGGTCTATATGAGTTGATACCGACTCAGTGGCACCTAACAACAACAACAACAAATATTCTTAGAATATTAAGAATACCAGAAGAATGTTAAACACTTAGAAATAGCTTAATAAGATACGTATATAATGAAAAAATATACAATGTTTTACCAAATGTAAATATAAAGAGACTTGCTTAAAAGAATACTAGAATAGACATTAAAACTACGATAATGGAAATACGTTTGAAATTCTTTAAAAGAACAAAAAGAGAAATTTATGAAATAAAGAAGCATTTTAAATAGCAACTAATTTACTTAAGAATTGAGTTTATAATAAAATATCACAGACATTAGGGTTTATAAATGGAGGTGATAGATTAGCTTTTCATACCATGCATGTTTCAGAGACATTCTGAATGGATTAAAGTGGTAAATGTCAAAAAAAAAGTTACATAAAAAACTGATTTTGTGATAGGAAATGACTTCAGACTAGTAATAAAAGACAAAATGAAATAAGATATTAATCATTTGAAATTTCTTTGTAGCAAAATACAATATAAAATTGGAAACAATACACTAGAAACAAATATTTGTGACATTTAAAAGAGGCAAATGATTAATTAACACACAGTATCTATAAAGGCCTCCTGTGAATCAGTTGCAAAACAACACCTTTATGGAAAGGAAATAAACATATGTAATGTGCTTCTGCTCCTATAAAGCCATGTATAGCAGTGGAAACTGTATGCAGGATTGCTGTAATTCAAAGTCATCTCAGTGACAGTGGATGGGTTTTAATGTACAAACAAGAATTTTTTAGTAGCACAAATTAGCTGTTAAAATGATGCTCATGCTTACCAAGAACTGGGAAATACAGATTTAAACATTAAAGATTTAGGGATTTTGCTCATGAAATTTATAAAAATTAAAGTGACAGCTAATCTCTATTGTTAAGGATATAGTGGAAACCGTTATTGCCATAAATAAATACAATTTTTTTGAGGTCAGCTCAGCCATCTGTTTTAAAAACATTAAATGTAGCATTCTTTTCCATACAGTAGCTTTTATTTAAATTCTAGAAAAATAGTGATACATGTATAGAAATATGAATATAAATTATTACAACAACAGCCTTGTAGCCATTTAAAATAATTAGATGAGTCTCCGTATACTATCATTGATAATTTAATTCAAGAAATATTTACTGATTCTTGATGTAAAGTACTTTCTTCATGCTGAAAAACTCCTCAAGGAATGTTAATAGAAGAATTAATTTGAAAATATGAATAGCATGATTCCATTTATATAAAGGGCAAAATTTAAAGCTCTGTATGTTATATCATGTATATGTGATTACATATTAAATATTTGAAAGAATTAATACGTAAGCTACATAGTCCAGTTTGGAATATGTGCATATAAATGAATGGGAATAAAAAAGGAAAATTTATATTCTTTAATCGGGCTGCGAACCTTAAGGTCAGCGGTTCGAAACTACCAGCCATTCCGCGGGAGAAAGATGAGGCTTTCTACTCCAGTAAGGATTTACACCCTCGGAAACCCTGTACAGGGTCGCTATGGGTTGGAACCGACTCGACGGCACTTAACAACAACAACAACAAATATATATATATCTTTAATTTTTTAAAATAATACAGATGTATATGTGTATTAATAGATTCTTTTAATTACAAATATTTAAATCATAATATATAAATGGGTGTCATAAAATTTAATGATAATTTGTTGTTAACTGCCTTCGAGTTGATTCCGACCAATAGCAACCTTGTATAGGGTTTCCAGTGAGCAACTGGTGAGCTTGAACCACTGACCTTGCAGTTCAGACTTTCTGACGCATAACCCACAGTGCCATACCAGGTCTCTAGCCTAGAGTAAAATTGGCAATAGATAGAATGGTGGTAGGTGGAGTACTGTGGAGTCAGTTCTGACTCATGGCAACCCTAAATAGGGTTTTCGTGGTTGCAAATCATTACGGGATCTGGACGCCTCATCTTTCTCTCACAGAGCAGCCTGGTATATTCGAACTGCAATTAGCAACACAACTCGTCATTGATCAAAGATGTAATGGATAATATTTAAAGAGGTCTTACAAATAAGAAAACCTGTGATTCCCATTTTATATATTAACAGGAAAGATACATAATTATCAAAAAAGGCTAATATTAAAAAATATTCAGTCTCACTGATCATAAAAGAAACAAAAATTTAAATGTTCTTTTACCGTTTTTAATCTGTCAAAAATGGCTGTGATTGTCTTTGTTTTTTATTTTTTAACTTCGGTGGCTCTATGCCATTTCCATGATCATTTGTGGATTTAACCATTGGGTTTTCATTGACTGATATTTATTTATTTATTTATCTTACTATTTATCTAATGCTTTGTTTTTATTTATTTATTGCTCCTTAGACACATCTATGCAGGGCTGCTGTGTGTTAGAACTGTCTCAGTGGCACTCATCAACAACATTTATTACCTAGTTTGTTTATTTATCTTGTCTTCTCCTTCCCCCAAGTTATAAAAGTGGAAGAGTTATGTTTATATGAAATAAGTAAGTCAATCACAAAAGGGTAAATATTGTATGAGACAACTATTATAAAAAAAATTCAAGAAAAAGTTCACAGAAAAAAAGACACATTCTTTAATGGTTATCAGGGGTGGAGTGGTAAGGCAGGGTAAATCACTAACTACAGGAAAGCTCGAAGTCTTGGTGTGGTGCTGTAGAATCAGCACTGGACCATAAGGTCGGTTGAAACACAAGGTTCTAACCTACCAGCTGCTCCTCAGAAGCCTTATACAGGGTCACTAAGAGTCAGAACCAACTCAACAAAACTTGAAACCAACAGAGGATAGCTATATATTAACCTGAGTGAAGAGTGTCTGTGACTTTGTAATGACAATATAATAGGTGTAGAGGAGTGGTGACGTACAGAATTCCTTACCTTGTAGATCATTTCTAGAAATTAGTTTGGCAAGGGCACTGTAGGATAAATACTGGACTGATAACCACAAGGTTGGAAATTCAGACTCACCAGCTGCTTCTTAGTAAGCCTGTACACGGTCACTGTGAGTCGAAACTGACTCCATGGATGGCACTTAGCAACAATAACAAATGTATCCAAAACCAAAAAGAAAATTCCTTGTCAAGCAGCTTGTCTCAAAGGAGATTTCAGAGATTCATACAAAGATGTTTATTATAGAGTAATTTTTATTATAAAATGTTAGCCTAAATAAAGACCCAAAGGTAGAAAAATGGTTTAAAGAATTATAAGACATTCATAGTTATCAAAAAGTTTTACAACCTTAGAAATGGTGCTTTCAACAAATTTTTGATGACTTAGGAAAATGCTCATATTGTATGATTCAGAGAAAACAGTTTTTGTGTCTATATAACTGGAAAAAATTGAAGACTATACATAAAATTAACTTTTTCTTTTTTACTTTCCTTTATTTCCCATGTCTGTTAAATTAAGAAATATTTTGTAATCAAACAAAATCAGTGTGTGTTATGCAATAATAAATATCTGTATAGGAAAAAATGACATTTGAAATATACAAATTAAAGTTTTGTTCTCACATTTATGTATATACATTTATGCTATAAAAAGTCATATGAAACTTGATTCTAATTTCTTTTTAACATAAAAAGGAATTTTATTATCACTTATACCCAAGAGACATATAACAAAAGATTTATGTAAGGCAGAGGAATTATTTATTTATGTAGTAAAACCTGCAAAAGCCAGAACCTATGTAAGCCAGAAACCTGTACAAGAAGGGGAACTCAAATATTTTCCACTAAAATAACTTTTGAGAAGTTATAAGATCCTATCAAAGGCAGGAAACTTGTGAGACCTGGAAAATCAGTTCTATCAAATTCCAACACACTGTACTAGAAGAGAATACTTTCATAATTACAAAGGATCTAAATGAGCTTACCCCCAGATAAGAAAGAAAGCTATGTTTTATTTCGCCCCAGATAAAGCCTGGTGTGGTGCTATAGGATCAGCACTGGATTGTGAACTACAAGGTTGGCAGTTCAAACCCACCAACTGCTTCCTTGGAAACCCTATATAAGGTCGCTATGAGTCGGAACTGACTCAACGGCACATTACAACAACATTATTCCTACTTGTGTATGCTAGGTGTAGTATTTCTTGCCTTACACTATTTAATTACTGTCTAATACTCCACTTGTGTTTTTCTAACTTCCATTAAAACATTCTTGGAACAGTACTACAGGTTTCAGCTTATTTTAGAGACTATGTTTTAGTCTTCTAGTTTGTTTTTAAGAGACATAAAAATCTTGCTAGTTTCACCTCTACTACATTTATATAGCTTTTCTTGGGACAAAACACATCTTTGTTTCATTATACTAACGAATCAACATTCATCATATGTTTACTGTCACCTTCCATATCAGAATTCTGGAATGTGTAAACATTTTCTAATTGTCTATAATTCTGGGAATTAGTATCTTACTTAAAACTACATTCATTCATTCATTCATTCATTTATTCATTCAGTGTTTATCTAGTGAGTGACCACTATCAGTAGCAAGCAATACAATGTGAATAGTGCATAGTAATCTCTTCCCTTCTTGTTTATTATGCTGACCTTTTATTTTATGTTTTCTCTGAATTAGAAACATGGTGTAGGTGGGAAGAAAAAAGCTTAAAAAAGTGACAGACTTCAAAATCAAAGAATAACTGTACCATTTATTAAGCAGTGTATGGGGAATTTAAAATACACTGAGAAGAGAGGGTGAAGATATATTTGGTACAATTTGGGACATGTTGAATTTAAGGAACCTTTTCATATTCACATATTCAGTGGGTAATGGATTTACAGGTTAGAATTCAAGAGAGAAATGTGATCCAGAATTACAGACTTAGAATTCTTGTAAAAGTGAAAGTTGTTAATGTGATTAGCTCTTAACCAAAAGGTTGGAGGTTCAAGTCTATCCAGAGGCATTTCAGAAGAAAGGCCTGGTGATGAAATCAGCCTTTGAAAAACCTATGGAACACAGTTTTTACGCTGACACACATATATACTCCCTGGGAGTCAGAGTCAACTTGACAGTAACTAGTTTAGTGTATAGATGGTAGTTGAAATTATGGGAGTGTGAAGGGATGTGGTGCTGTAATTTTCTTTTCTTTTTAATGTTTTATTGTGAATAATGTGATAGTTTACATGGGAGAACATTAGTTTTACATTCATCCTATCGTATATCATTTCACTGCAATGATTACAATCCCCTCCATGCATCATCAACCAACCACAGGTGGATGACCTGCTCCCCAGTCATCAACACACAGCCCCTCTCCCTCTCTGGGTCTAAAGTCCCCAGCTGCTCCATCTCTCCATGTCATCGTCTCTTCCTCCATCTCTGGCATCACTGCTTCTCTGGGTAGGGCCCCGCTCTCCGCTTTTCTCCCTTGATGATCCCAGGGACCTCCGCTCCTAAACTGCAAAGTTAATCACTCCCCTCCTTGCTACAGAACATCTGTCTTTAAATTTCCAATCCTCACAATCAGTCCTGGTAACAATTATTCACTACTGTATCACAAGAGATCTATCCTCATTTCCTTTCATCAGCTCCACCTAGACAGATTTTATACTAGTCAGTGGAGATTCTACCTTCCTCCATGCCCTCTGGATCTAGGTTCCCTCTTGAAAACTTGTAAGCCAGTCACTTCTTGCCTTTATAGTCCCCCAACTTTGGGTAGCCAATGTCCAAGTTGCCCATCCCTGTCTACTGTGTGTATGGAGGGGGTGAGAATGATCCTTATTGTAAAGGTTTGTTCCCTTTTTTGAGCTACTGCATCCATAGGTGTAAGTCAAGTTCATCAAATTAATATTCTGGATATGACTCTTTTAGCCACAGTCTTTGTAACTCCCACCAAATGACTGAGTGTGAGACCATGCTGATTGGGTGTATTTACTTTTTTCCTAATGGACCTGGCTAAGAAAAAGGTGAAAAATGATGGTGATAGGATTATATGATTCAGTTGTTAGTTATTTGTTTACAGAGTTAATTGTGATTGTAAAAACCAGAAACTCTAATGTAAAGATAGGTCAGTTTTGCCATCCCACTAGATATAAAATTAGCCATGTAAAAGCACAATGGCGACCTTAACTACCAACAAGAAAGAACAATCAGGAGTGGAGCATGTCCTTTGGGCCCTGATAGCCCTTCATGTTGAGTCGTGACCCAGGAGACAGAGCTATGACACAAAGGAGTGGCAGAGGATCCGCAGCAACAGAACCAACAGCCAGAGCATCAGAAAGAGTGATGGGCTTCTCCAGCCTTAGAGCTAGCCAAGCTGAGTGCCTTGTGGCAAGAGGCTGGCTTAAGGAGTGAGTTGCATCCATTCACTTAACTGGGGGAGCCAAGTTTGCTGCTGGCCCATGGAGCTACAGCTGAGCACATTCAGGCTGAGGCTTATGACAGAGTGCAGTGCCCATTGGACATTTATCAGCAGTGCTAAAGGAGCTTTATAAAATGTTGTCTGAGCATGGGAGAGGCCAGGCTAAGAGGTTGAGGGCCAGAGAGAAGCCTGCCTGCAGACTTGGCTAGGAAGAAGCTAACATTTCTGGTCCTGAATTGTAGCCTATTCTCTAATAAACGCCATAATCAGGATTATTGTCTGAAGTCTGTGTAGCCATTGAAATAAATTATCAAGTTCAGCAGAGAAATAGTGTTTTATGAGGGATGGCTGGTATCAGAATTAGTAAAGATGGTTGAGGGTAGAGGTGGGTCTTCCCTGTGCCTCATGGTAATTGACCTTGGGCAGCTAACACTGATGATCATTACTCTGTTTCCTCCTTCTAAAGTCAGAGGAGATAAGACTCTGCCTCCACATCCTTTTTATAAATGGTTACTTCTGACACTTTAGGACAAGAAAATGAACACAATATATATATGTAAGCATATGATATAGATTTACCTGTATTCCTAGTAATCTAAAGACAAAATTTATAGCAAGATAAAATATATCTGACTGAATTTTTTTTAATCTACCATAATAAAAATTCTTTCCCCAAGAAAAGCCATCTGTTTGTTCTTTGTTCAGAAATCCTTGTTTTATTAATTTGAAGAAAATCAATTACCTTTATAAAAGATATATACTGCATTTCATAGTATGATTTAGTCAATACCTTTAACTTTCAGTTTGGGTGAAGATTATAATTAATTAGATCATTGAATTCCATAGTTTATTATAATTGTTTCTTTAACTGCTTTTTATTTCCTCAGTGGACTATGAAATGTTCATTTTGATCTTTGTATTTCTAGAAAATACACCCTACTGTTTAAAATATGTTGAGTAAATAGTGAATTAATGAATTGCTACTAGAAAAAAAGGAGTGTGACAACTCTATAAAAGTGTTACTGTAAATAAAATAGAACCTCAGAGCAAAGGAATGAAAAAAATTATTTGAGAAAGCATCTTACTTCTTTCTGAAGAGCTACAGATATTTAAGTATATAACTGAAGATCTTATTTTAAGATTTCATTATCTTTTAGAATATTATAAATTTAATCATTATTTATGTGGCACTGTAAGTGAATGTGTTGGACTGCAAAGTCTCTTTGAACCATAGGGTTGGTGGTTCAAGCTCACCAACTACTTCTCAGAAACCATATACAGGGTTGCTATGGATCAAAACTGACATTGATGCCACTTAACAACAGCAATCGTTATTTGTACACATTGTAGGTTGTCATTGATTGTATTCCAACTCAAAGTAACTCTTTGTGACCACATGTTTGTGTTTAAACTTTTCAATATTTGACTGTTTGTAGTTTGAAGTTGTTGATGTACTTTGTAATTTTAGGTTACCAATGATATTATTTCAGTACTAAAGTATCTTATTAAATTGTTGAAAATTGCAACAACTGCTATCTAAGAGAAAAAGCCATTGATAAGTTAGTCTCTGTACACACACATGTATACACACACACACACATATTTCTTTTTTAAACTCCACAAATTCGCTTTTGTATTAATATTCTGAATAAAATAATACATTTTGCATATTGCAGTAAGTTGCTCTTTTTGTCATTTCAGAAAGTAGAAAATCCTGATGAACTGGCAGAACTTATAAATATGAATCTTGCACAACTTTGCTCACTTCTAATGGCTTTATGGGGACAGTTTCTGGAAGTTATAACACTACATGAAGAACTAAGAGTGTTCTTAGCACAAGAACATCATACTTTGAGGGTAAGTTAAAGAAAACTGATGTTAGAAAACTCTCAAGAGTATTATCATTTATCTTTAAAGTTTTTCTTATGAATTAAAAATGAAAAGCCTGATTGTTACTTAATATATTCATAAATCAGAATGGAGACATTTATTGTTGAGCTCTTTGCTTTATAAAGTTAATAGTAGAACTATATAATTGAGCCCATTAACTAAGCTAACTGGCTTAGTTAAAACCTGTGCTAGCAAGAAAAACTACTTAAACCTAACTAAAGTAAGAAAATACATGATTCAAAATAGCTCCTAGAACTCAAGACCAGGAATTAAAGCCAGTCCTCTTTAAGGACAGGAATCAGAAAGTAGAAAGCCATCTCTAACTAAAATAGGCTGTTATCTCCTCCATCTTCTCTCTTTCCCCTCATTTAGAGGTGTATATAGCTCTGGTAGCGTAGTGGTTACGAATCGGGCTGTGAACCTTAAGGTCAGCGGTTCGAAACTACCATCCGCTCCGCGGGAGAAAGATGAGGCTTTCTACTCCCGTAAAGATTTACACCCCTTGGAAACCCTGTACTGGGTCGCTATGGGTTGGAACCGACTCGATGGCACTTAACAACAACAACAATAGCTCTCGTAGCGTAGTGGTTACAAATCAGGCTACAAGCCACAAGGTCAGCAATTCAAAACTACCAGCTGTGCCGCGGGAGAAAGATGTGGCTTTCTGCTCCCGTAAAGATTTGCAGCCACGGAAACCATATACAGGGTCGCTATGAGTCAGAACCGAATCCGCGGCGCATAACAACAACATTATGGAAATGTAGAATGTGTAATATGAACTTGACAGAATTAGGGGAGTAGTCTAGACAGACATATTTACTGTAGGCTTAGTATGCATATTGTGCAGAAAATTTTGTATGGTTTTATTGTATGACATCTAAAAAGATTTGAGATGTTAAATGTCTGTCTTTCCAGTCCACCACTTGTCTGTCAGTTTGTCATACTGTGGTGGCTTGTGAGTTGCTGTGATTCTGGAAGCTACGCCACGGGTATTTTAAATACCAGCAGGGTCACCCATGGTGGACAGGTTTCACATGACCTTCTGGACAAAGATAGATAAGGAAGAAACAGAGTTGAACTACTTCCGAATATTTACTCACTGAAAACCTTATTGAATATCAAAGAAACACTGTCAGATATAGTGCTGGAAAATGAACCCATCAAGTTGGAAGGCATGCAGATGCAACTGGGGAAGAGCTGCCTCCTCAAAGTAAAGTTGACCGTGATGACACCAGTGGAGTAAAGCATTCCAGAGCTTCATTTGCTGATGGGGCACAACTCAAAATGAAGAGAAACAGCTGTAAAAATCCATTAATAATCAAAACATGAAATGTATGAAGTATGAATCTAGGAAAATTGGAAATTGTCAAAAATGAAATGGAACGCATAAACATCAGTATCTCAGGTGTTAGTGACCTGAATTGGACTGGTATTGGCCATTTTGAATCTGACAACCACATGGCTTACTATGCCAAGAATGACAAATTGAAGAGGAATGGTGTTGCAATCATCGTCAAAAAGAACATACCAAGATCTGCCATGAGGTACGACACTGTCTTTTATAGGACAATATCCGTGAGATTACAGGGAAGTCCAGTTAATACCACTATTAATCAAATTTATGCATCAACCACTAAAGCTAGTGAGGATGAAATAGAAGAATTCTAACAATTTCTTTAATCTGAAATTGATCAGACATGCAATTAAGATATATTGATCATTACTGGTGGTGGATTGGAATGCAAAGGTTGGAAACAAAGATAGGTAGTTAGAAAATATGGCCTTGGTGATAGAAATGATACTGAAAAAGCGAATGATAGAATTCTGGAAAAACAATGATTTATTCATTTTAAATACCTTTTTTAAACAGCATAAGAGACGACTATACTCATGGACCTCACCAGATGGAATACAGAAAAATCCAATTGACTAAGTCTTTGGAAAGAGATGGTGCAATAGCTCCATATCAACCAAAACAAGGCCGGGGCAGATTGTGGAACTGACCATCAATTGCTCATATGCAAATTCAGACTGAAGCTGAAGAAAATGAAAACAAGTCCACGAGAGCCAAAATATGTATGACCTTGAATATATCCCACCTGAATTTAGAAATCTTCTGAAGAACAGATTTGATACATCAGACATTAAAGACCAAAGACCAGAAGAGATGTGGGATGACATCAAGAACAACATACAGAGAGAAAGCAAAAAATCATTAAGACAAGAAATAAGGAAAAGGTCAAAATGGATGTCAGAAGAGACTCTGAAACTTGCTCTCCAGTGCAGAGATGCTAAAGCAAATGGAAGAAATGAGGAGATACAAGAGCTGAACAGAAAATGTCAAAGGTCCGCTTGAGAAGACAAAGTTAAATATTACAATGAACTGTGCAAAGATATGGAGTTAGAAAACCAGAAGGGAAGAACACTTCAGCATTTTTCAAACCACGGGAACTGAAGAAAATATTCAAGCCTCAACTTTCGTTATTGAAGGATTATCTGGGCAAATTATTGCATGATGCAGAAAGCATCAAAAGAAGGTTGAAGGAATACAAAGAGTCACTGTAACAAAAGGAAATGGTTGATGTTCAGCCATTTCATGAGGCAGCTAGTGGTACTGAAGGAAGAACTCAAAGGTACATTGAAGGAATTGGCAAAGAACAAGGCACTGGGAATTGATGAAATAAAATGTGAAATCTTTCAAGAAAGTGAGGTAGCACTGGAGGCACTCGCTCATATATGCCAAGAAATTTGGAAGACAACTACCTGGCTAACTGATTGGAAGAGATCCGTATTTATGCCCATTCCAAAATGGTGACCCAACGGAATGCGGAAATCATCAGACAGTATCTTTGATATCCCATGTGAGTAAAGTTTTACTGAAAGTAATACAGAAACAGCTGCAACCATACATTGACAGAGAATTTCCAGAGGTTCAAGCCAGATTCAGAAGAGGACGTGTCAAGAGAAATATCATTGCTGATGTCGGATAGATCTTGGCTGAAAGAGACAATACCAGAAAGATACTTACCTGTGCTTTATTGACTACACAAAGGCCTTTGATTGTGTGGATCATGACAAGCTATGGACAACATTGTGAAGTATGAGTATTCCTGAACACATAATTGTGCTCAAGTGGAATCTGTACGTGGACCAAGAGGCAGTTGTTCGAACAGAACATGGGATCACTGAATGGTTTAAAATTAAGAAAGGTATGAGACAGAGTTGTATTCTTTCACCATACTTATTCAACCTGTATGCTGAGCAAATAATACAAGAAGCTGGGTTCTATGAAGAAAAACGTGGCATCAGGATTGAAGGAAGATTCATTAACAACCTGCGATATGCAGATTATATAACCTTGCTTGCTGAAAGCCAAGAGGATTTAAAATACTTACTGATGAAGATCAAAGACCACAGCCTTTGGTATGGATTGCATCTCAAAGTCAAGAAAACAAAAATATTCACCACTGGACCAGTAAACATTGATAAGAATGTTTTTCTTATCAACGGAGAAAAGACCGAAGTTGTCAAAGACTTCATTTTTCTTGAATCAACCATCAGCACTCATGGGAACAGCAGTCAAGTAACCAAACAACATATTGCATTAGGTAAATCTGCTGCACAAACCTTTTCAAAGTGTTGAAGAGCAAAGATGTCAGCTTGAGGACTAAGGTACACCTGACCCAAGCCATGGTATTTTCAATAACCTCATATGCATGTGAAAGTAGGACAGAGAATAAGGAAGATCATAGAGGAATTGATGCATTTGAGTTATAGTGTATGAGAAGAATATTGAAAGTGCCATGGGCTGCCAAAAGAACAGACAGGTCTGTGTTGGAAGCAGTGCAACTGAAGTGCTCCTTGAGGCCAGGATGGCCAAACTTCACCTCTCATACTTTAGACATATTGTCAGAAAAGACCAGTCTCTGGAAAAGGATATCATGTTTGGTAAGGTGGAGGAGAGTCAGAGAAAAAGAGGAAGACCTCCAGCGAGATGGATTGGCAAAGTGGCAGCATCAATGGGCTCAAACATGGCAACAGTTGTGCCGTTTGCCCCAAACCAGGCAGTGTTTTGTTTTGTTGTCCATAGGGTCGCTATGAGTCGATACCGACTTGATGGCACCTAACAACAACATCTTTCCAGTCTCATCTACTTGTAAACTTTGTATGCACAGTTTGGAGTTTCATAATAACATCAAGTATATATACTACTATTTTTGTTTTTCCTTTCCTTTCTTAATTATGAAATATAAGGTACAATAATGTATGTTAAAAGATGTAATAGTGTATATTAATAAAAACAATAAATAGTAAACATTGAACAAACTCGCACATTTTAACAAAACTTAAAAGCATACCCCAGGTTAACCATCCATCACCCAGATCAAGAAATAGAACATTGCCAACACCACCACACAACTCCTCTGTGTATCTTTTTCAATTACTATCCCCTTCTTGGCATTTAGAAAGATCATGCTGAATTTTGTGATAATATATTTCTTACTTTTCTTTTGATTTTGCCATCTGTGTATTTACACTAAATAATAGAGGTTTCCGCATTTTTTAAGTGAAATCATAACCATGTGCAAACTTTATATTCTGCTTATTTCGCTCAAGATATTGTTTGTGAGATTAGGCCATGTTTTTCCAGTAGCTGTAGATTGTTCATTTTCATTGCTGTGATGGATTCCATTTTAATCCACTCACACATTTGTTGATGGGCATTTAGGTTGCTTTTGATTGGTAGCTTTGAAAACCAAACTAATATGAGTGTTCTTATATATGCTTTTTGATATACCAGTTTCTCTGATATATTTACCTTTGAGGGAAGTTGCTGGATCATAGTGTATGCATGACTTCAGTTTTTGTAGTTAAAAACCATACTGTTTTTCAAAGTTGTACCAACTTGCAGTTCTACCAGCAGTTTATGGTGATCCACATACTCTTCAACTTTTATTATCAGACTT